CATCCCATCCCATCCCATCCCATCCCATCCCATCCCATCCCATCCCATCCCATCCCATCCCATCCCATCCCATCCCATCCCATCCCATCCCATCCCATCCCATCCCATCCCATCCCATCCCACCCCATCCCATCCCTTCGGACATCCAGCCTGTAAAAGTGATGCCATACAAGCACTTCCAAAGCACCTAGTCTAGGAACAACACCTTGGACTGCTCGAGTCGGAGAACTCAGAGGTTTTGCAATTAGGAACACGTGCATTGCATCACATGCAACACAGCATCTGCAACTGTCCCACCACTGCTCCTCATGGCAGGGCCCTCTTGTGTCCCAGCTGGGGTTCTGGGGGCTGTGTCCCCATGTGCCCTGTGTGCTCCAGCATCCCCAGCCTGGGCTGGCACTGGTATCAGCCCACAGATTACATGGGGTGGTCAGGCCAGGGGTATCTGTGGGAGGAGGAAGGTTTATTGTGCCAGCTCATACAGCAAACATGTCCTCCTCCAGCAGCACCCTCACATGGCAGAGGCTTTTGCTGAAGCATAGAGCACCTGGGTTCCAGGATGGCACCTTCAGGATATCTGTTCTGGTCAGATGCCAGAACAGAACAGGAGATAATGGACTGTGAACACTGTCTGAGCGCCAGCAGTGTTCTCCTCACCTGGGGCTGTCCCCAAATCTTGCAATGTTTAGGGAGCCAGTCACTGTTCTGGAGGAAGCCCAGCAGCTGTCCCTGCACAGATGTGCTCCCCGCCAGGCTCCTGCCCTGCTCGCAGCGCTGCTCTGTGGGCTGGGAGAGGGCACAGGGGCACAGGCGGCCCCAGCTCCAGTCTGGCAGGTAAATGCCCATGGCTCAGACCTTCCCAGCCTGGAAAGCCTCTGAAGAAGTCAGAGAGGCCTTTCCTGGTTGGTTTGTACGTGTGCCGTTAGAGAAGGGCTGCGGGGCTGCCACAGCAGCTACAAACTTCCAGTGAAATGAGTGTTTATTATTATAGGTTTGATGCGGTTCCCAAAAGACTCTAATCAACAAGTAATAAGGCCTCGAGAGAGCAATTAGAAATCTGAACTTTAACTCTCTTATAACCACAATGTAGGAAGTGACTTCTGCTCCAGTTTCGGGTTTGCCACCTGGCATGTGAACGAGGGAGAAATACCAAAAACCTGAAATACAGAATAACCGCAGACAAGTATTTTAACAATGAGGTACAAAGTCCATTTCTACAGAAAGTAAATGTGTGTGTGGCAAAAAGCATAATGGTTTAGGGGGATTCATGCCCAAATTTGCAGCCTCTCTATCACATTTAGGTGTTTTCAATGCTTCTTCTCAGCTTTAGACAAGCACCAAGGTTGTTCAGTGCCTGTACATGTGCAGCATCTGCCCCCTTTAAAGAAAAAAATTACCTCAGTTTTACCACTTGTGAAATAACAATATCTGCCTAAAGGCAACCCCAGCCCTCGAGATGCGGGTTTGCTCAGAACTTGTTTTGAATACTTTGGATAGGCCACTTCAGACAGGAACTGCACATTGAGTAATTCTTGCCATAGAAAGTCACGTGGCTACTGGAAAGCAAAAAATTGCATAAGAGCCCATCTGCAGAGCACGGCTGAGTCAGGGAACGTTGGCCACGAGGGTCATGCTCCAGCAGCCCGCCAGAGCCGGGGCCTTGACTTCCCAAGGAGCTGTGCCAGCACCAGCACACATCCACAGCTGGGATAGCCCTGGTCCTTCAGCCTGAGGAGGGGGGTTCCAGAAAAGTGTTACTTTTCTGACCTTTCTTCCCGAGATGGAAGCTGTGGCCAGGCTCTGGCTGCCCCGGTTCCCTTCGCCCAGCCGCAGCAGCCGCAGCAGCAGCAGCCAGGCAAGGTGTGGCACGGGGCAGCGCTGCAGTCACTGCACACACACACGGCACTTGCACCCCACAGGTACCGGGTGAGCTGCGGTGCTGCCCTCCTTCAGGGCTGGGAGCAGCCAGCGTGGAGTGGAGACACGAACGTGCCACTCAGACGTACCACGGGGAGTGCTGGCAGGGCCGTGGTCCTGTCCCAAGCCCGGCATGCTGCGGCTGGGAGGAGGAAGGGCTGCATCCCTGCCAGCTGCCTGTGAGGACAGCAGGGCAGGGCAGGCCCCGGGACCTGGAGATCCAGGTGAATTTTAGATGTCCCAGCCTTAAAGAAATTTCACGTCTCAAAACCTTCATTTGATGTATAACTGGAGCCAGCAGAGGGAGTGAAATGCAGGGACGCTGTAGTGTCCATGGAAAAAGGAGCTGCCAGGCTTTGATCCAGGTGCATCTGGCTCAATGACACATCTCAGAACCAAAGGAAGGGTGTACCAGCTGGGCCCTGGGCCCCAGGTGACACAGAGATGGATTAACAGAGGCAGGTGACCACTTGTGGGAGTGAGGGGTTGTTTTCTGCATCATTCTCAACAGAAAAAATAGACGTTCTTGGGTCTAACATTGTATGTTTCCAGTATGAAGAAGGTACCCAGAGGAACCTCAACCTCTCAAATACTTCCTGTTCCAAGGGGGTCTGAATATTGTCCCCATGAAAAGGTTCAAATGCTTTATCTTCTGGCAGTGTTCATACAGTCCTGAGAGTGACCATGGGCAGTCCTGAGGGAAGCTTCAAATCAGTGGTGCTGATATGGCTCCTTGTTCTCTTATGCCTCCAAAATGTCCTGGTCTTGGCATTATCCTAGGCACAAAATGTGACAGACATTCACAAACAGCTTCTCAGTGATTTCTTAGTTAATTTTTTCTTCAGTAATAGCAATTTTGCAAATAGATTAGTTCTTCAGCATCCACTTAGGATTTTTTTAGACTCATTTTAATGTGCCTTCAAAGACAGAGACAGTTTGCCCTTTTGATTGAGCACTGGCCATTTTCATTCACCATTTGATTGGAAGAGATAGGACATGATCTTTACTAAACTCTTTAGTAACATGTGAGCTTCCTCCCAATTCTGAAGGAGAATTTTGAAAAGTTTTTAATCTGTGTGTTTATGCACCAAAGAAACACTTATTTAGCAAAATGCTAAATTGTAACAAGTTGGTAGCTTTAATAATTGCATTGAATACTGTGGAATTAGCTTAAAATAAGTTTTTCCTCCTTGAAATGAGATTTTGTTTGTGTCTGGATCAAGCAACTCTGCACCAGTCTTGAACTTGTTAAAAGATGGAAATCAGAATAACCACTGCAATATTGAAATGGTAAAACAAGAACAGAATGGCAGTTGGCCAGTGTTTATGAATCAGAGAATATGATCATGAAATCATAAGAATAACCACCAAAAGGTAAATAAATTACCCAGCCTACTACTTATTTTCATGTGCAGCTTGACACAAAAGCTGAAGCCATGAATGATTTATACCTGTTTTAACAATAATACTCATTTTCCTGAAAGATGGTCAGCACTCAGGCTGCTGTGGGCACTGTGCCAGTCATTGAAAGGTTAATGTCTCAGCAGCAATACATTAAATTATGAATTATACCAGTCCCAAAATGGAAGGTTATTAGCTCGGTATGTTTAATTAGCCCGGCTCGAACTTTGCCATCTGCCAGCAGTGCCCATCACTAATGCACGGCCACGTGGGATCGGAGGGGTGGGAATCGGGTGCCAGAAGCAGCAGAGATCGCCCTGGGCTAGTCCGGCTCACCTGGAGCTGGGCCGGGCCGGGCCGGGGTCCCGCAGCACCCCCGGGACCGGGACCGGGACCGGCCCGTGCCGGCGGTGCCGGTGTCGGTGTCTGCCCTGCCCTGCCAGGGAGCGGCTCCTGCTCGCTGCCCGGAGCTCCCGTGGGGGACAGCCGCGGGCCCGAACCGAACCGGAGCCGCGGACGGGCCGGGACCGCGGCGCCAGCCCCGGTACCAGAGCCCCCGGTGCCAGAGCCCCCGGTGCCGGATCCCCCGGTGCCAGAGCCCCCGGTGCCGGATCCCCCGGTGCCGGATCCCCCAGTACCAGAACCCCCGGTACCAGAGCCCCCGGTGCCAGAGCCCCCGGTGCTAGAACCCCGGTGCCAGAGCCCCCGGTGCCGGATCCCCCGGTGCCAGAGCCCCCGGTACCAGAGCCCCCGGTGCCAGAGCTCCCGGTACCAGAACCCCGGTACCAGAGCCCCCGGTGCCAGAGCTCCCGGTACCAGAACCCCGGTACCAGAGCCCCCGGTGCCAGAGCCCCCGGGGCCGGATCCTCCGGTACCAGAGCCCCCGGTACCAGAGCCCCCGGTACCAGAGCCCCGATACCAGAGCCCCGGTACCAGAGCCCCCGGTGCCAGAGCCCCCGGTGCCGGATCCCCCGGTACCAGAGCCCCGGTACCAGAGCCCCCGGTGCCAGAGCCCCGGTACCAGAGCCCCGGTACCAGAGCCCCCGGTACCAGAGCCCCCGGTGCCAGAGCCCCCGGTGCCAGAACCCCCGGTGCCAGAGCCCCCGGTGCCAGAGCCCCGGTACCAGAGCCCCCGGTGCCAGAGCCCCCGGTGCCAGAACCCCCGGTGCCAGAGCCCCCGGTACCAGAACCCCGGTACCAGAGCCCCCGGTGCCAGAGCCCCCGGTGCCGGATCCCCCGGTGCCAGAGCCCCCGGTACCAGAGCCCCCGGTACCAGCCCCGCTGCCAGCCCCCGGTGCAGGGCCGCGGGCCAGCCCCAGGGATGTGGGAGGCAGCAACCAGCCGGACCTTTATTTGCACAGCATCTCCTGCCAATAACTGCACAAGGCTACAATATTTAGCTTTTCAATAAATATTTAAATTTAGCTTCTTTGCTTATTTTTTTTTAAAGAACAAACAGTAAATTCTGTTGGTTTTTTAATTAGTTAAGCTTAATGTGATGCTTTGGAAACATAATGCACTTAGTATTGCAATAAGTTGTTGACATCCCGTGACTTTGCGGGTGCTCTTGGGGAGCCTGTGTGCTAAAACTTGGGTTGGAACTGTGTCCTGGAAAGCGTGGGGCAGGATCTGAACGTGTAAGAAGCCAAACAAAACCTTAATTTTAATTCTTATTTTTGTAGGTAGGATAACCTTGCCAAAGAGGAAAGGAATTTGGACAGACTTAACATCCAGCCTATGCAGCTTCCACGAGCTGGATGCTAAAATGAAGAGAGAGTTTATTCATTCCCATCTCAACACAGCCTACCAGAATTAAAGGACATTTTGACCTACAAGGGAGATTGGGTTCCCAACCTGCCTCCAAGAGAAGGCTGTTCAATTCCTCTGGCTACCAAGTCTCCACATTTCTGTGCTGGATGTGAAGAGTAAAGGGAGTCTGGCAGGAATCAGGAGGCGTCCAAGTCAGCCTAAGAGACAGCACCAGGTAGAGGCTGGATTCCTTTTTCCTAATATTCTTGTAGTATGCAGTACAGACATTATTTCTTCTCCTCCCCTTGAACTTTTGTTGTTTTCCTCTTCTCCACGTCCGTGGAGCCTCTGTAGTTGTACTTGTGGAGCAGGTGGCATGGTTGGAATATCAGAGCAGTATGTATTAGAGTGAAACCTACAGACAGAAATAGAAAGTAAATGGAAGATGAATTGATCAGTGAAAAGGCAGAGGATGGAGGGGATAAAGTAAAGGCAAGGAGGGAGACAAGTAATACCTTGCCTGTGTGCTATGGTAATTTATTATTTTTATATGGTGCCCGGGGTGTGCAGTATCTGTTTTACTGAACAAATAGAAGAGTTCTCAGCCCCAAACAGCCAACATATTAATTTATTGTGTGACAGCCTGACAAAATGAGCAGCCAGGCCGGTGTGATGAGGAATAATTTAGTGCTTGTGGAGCATGAGTAACTTTACTATTGGTAGCCTCACTTGTGTATGGCACCTGATGGATGTCTCTTTTGTTGGTAAGGACTTACTGTACAAGAAAAATTTCCCTTTCAGGGGAAATCTGACTAGGGGGTGTCTTAGGGCATGGGACAGGATTCTGTCTGGAGTAGCAAAGGGGCTGCCAGGTGAGCATCTGGGAGGGGAGGGTGAGGACCTGAGCCCCAGCCTGGCACGGGGGGAGCAGCACAAACCCCAGAGCGGGGTGTGGGGACACGCAAGGGCAGCCAGATGTGGGGAAAGTGAAGGAAGGGACTCGGGAGAGAAGGCTGGAGTGTTTGCTGTGAGCAGTCTCCAGCTGCAGTTCCTGAGGAGCCATCCAGCTGGGACAGCAAGATGTCCTGAACCAACACGCTCCAGTGGGAGAGGCTCCAGTGCAAACCTGCCGTGACCGCAGCACCGGGGGAGCAATTCCTGAGTTGTTTTCCAACACAGTTATTGCCACTTAAATTGCAGTTTTATTCCAAAAGCAAATTCCAAAGTTTTATGTCCATAAAGGTTTAGACATAAACAAGAAAGAAGTCAGGAAAGTGGTATGCACTGTGTAAACAGTCTCACTTTATAATTAATGCTGAAGATCAGGGAGCAGGAATGGCTGTGCATGTGTGGTCATTCAGATTTACTGTTGCTCTGATTAAAACCTAGTTGGGCAATAATTTTATGCCCAGGTAGGGGCAGGAAGAGAGCAGGATGCCCCCAAGCAACCCATAAATAGTGTGGTGAAGACAAAGCGTTTATTACTTAGCTTCACAAAGGCTCCCTAAGTGCTCTCCCAGGGTATATATACTCATACCCCAGATGCCAATTCTGCAAATTAGCATTATTTCTCAAAATCCTGTGTAAATAGAAGTCATTTAAATACTTGATTTCATCAGACAGACTCACTCATGGAAATGTCAGTCTCTTTTTCTCCTTTTTGTGGGGCGAGCAGAGGTTTTCACTGCCTGGGTTTTCATTTCTCCTGGAATACTTTCACTGATGGCAGAGCCTGGCAGTGTCTGGGATCCATACAGGACTCAATCTGCAGGATTCCATCCCATCTCAGTGCCTCATGCTGGTGTAAAAGCAACTCTGGGGCATAAACTTTACTATTTATCACTGAAATGTGCTATTTTGTGAATCTCCTATCTAGCAGTTTAAATTACTGTGCCAAAAGTGGTTTCATAGCTAAGACACAGAGGGAATTAAAGGGTTTTGAGATTCTGTCAAAGTACCATTGGGATGTTCCTTTTTTCTAGAGAAGGCACGAGTGAGTTCAGCTCAGGCTTTGCTGATGGGCTGTTGTTTTGTCATTGGGCATCCTGCCACTAGTAACTTGTCCAAATTTTAGAAACTTTCACAATTATTTAAATCCATTTTTGTATGGGATTCCATGTAGAAATGGATACCTTAGTTAACAGGGTAACAGTAAAGCAGGGTGAGAAAGACCCATAAAATCATTTTTACATGATGAAACAATTTTCCTAGATATAAGATATTAAAAGGTGAATATTTCAGGATTTTCCAGGGCTAAAAACAAGCGTTGCATTTTAAGAATGCCTGTCTGTCCTTTTCAGGGAAATAAAGAAACAGAACTTAATACTGAATTTTGCAGGGCATTGGACTTCAGCACCCTTGCAGTAGACAAATTGCCACTGACCAGGAGGACAGTAAAACAAGTGCTGTGTTGGCTGGGAGAGAGAAAGCACTTTTCTAGCAGGTATTTTCTTTTTTAATCAGAATTGTTTATACCTGCTGGTGTTTTGAATTTTAAAAGCTAATTCCCGGGAAATAGGGAAGGAAGACAAAGGCAGGTGAACCTGATCTGTGAGGCACCATGAAAGGATGTGGTTTCATGGCGCTCTGGAAACACACCAGGAGGAATTACACCAGCATCCCCTGTCATGTGCTCTGCTCCATCAGAGTCACTTTTGTACCCACTGCACAAAATGGGAAACAGGGCCAAAAGTGGGGGGAATGAGCCCTTGAGTGCATTCCTGGGCACTTCCAGCATACCCCATGTCCCATCTGAGCTGGTCCCTCATTGCAGACAGTGAGTCCGTGGCAGAGCTAGGAATAGAATCCAAGCCCTTGTTCCAACTCCCAGATCCTCAAGAGTATTTTTAGGAACTTAATACCATTAATTTTATACTCTTTTTGGACAAGGATCTTAGAAACAAGATCTTAGAAGCATGCTCCCTCCTGAAATAATTTTTTTAATCCTACTTGTATGCTGTTGGACAACTTTTTTTCAGGGACTGTGTACAATTTAATGCCATTTAGGAACAAATGGATTTAAAAATTACTTTTGGGAAGAGTTCTAGATGGGCTATGCTTTTGTGCAGCCTTGATGTGTGAGTAAGGATGGGGAGGAGATGGTGCACAGTCTTTGTGTTCTGCAGGGCAAACAGTACCTGTCTGTGAGGGGCTTTGGCAGAGGGCAGTGGAGGCTCAGGCATCTCATGTTGGTACGTTAAAGCTACTGAAAAGGTGGAGAAAAAGTTCTACATCTACAGATTTTTACACACAATCATATTTTTCATTGTGCTAACTCAGCAAACCCCTTTAAGCCCTGCTCCTGCATCCTATCTATTATTAATTAATTGATTTCCTATAAGCAATTGAGTTCTTCACAGGCAGCTCAGCTGCAGACAGTGGAACTGCTCTCCTGTCACAAAACACCAACAGATTGAAAAGGCCAGGCCGGGCAAAGGGGAGGTTGAGACTGGACATTCAGAAGTGCTGGACAAAGGTCTCAGGCATGCGGTGGGATTCCTTGGTCTGTCCTGTGCAGGGCCTGTAATTGCACTCGATATTCCTTGTAGGTTCCTTCTAGCTCAGGATATTCTGTGATTTAGCACTCAGGAGACATTTCTTCACTGCAAGTGCTGTGCAGCCCTTGCACAGGTTGCCCAGGTCAGAGATGCAGTCATCACCCCTGGAGGTGTGTGGTACGGCACCTGGGGACGTGGTTACTGGTGTCCTTGGCAGTGCTGAGGGAACTTTTTCAACCCCAATGACTGTCTCTACAACAGGGTGGGAGAGCAGCCACCCACGGTGCAGCCACTCATCAGGTGAGCAGATGAGCAGGGTGTGTTTCAGTGGCTGCCCTGTCGATACTGCAGGAAGGGAAGGTGTCGAAGGCTGCTTTAGGGACTGCTCATCCGGACAACGACCGTGGGGACAGGGAGGAAGCCTGTGTGGGAGAGGTTCCAGTGCCTCAGGGCAGGCGTGGCAAGAAGGGCTCTCTGTGCTGCTGCTGCAGCAGCGGGTGCTGCCCAGATGTGGAGAGGCTCCTCTGTGCTCCGTCCTCTCCTCGCTGGGTCCAGCTCGGGTGGTAAACGCGCTTATTGCAGCGCTAATGTCCTGCAAGTGGGATCCCACCTCCAGGTATATTAGAGTAATGAGTTCACACCTAACTAATGGAGACTTAATAGAGTTACTAATAGGCTGCCTTTTCCCCCCACGGTTTATGACCCCGCGGCCGGGGCTGTCAGGGGAGGGAGAGGTGAGAGGCAGTGTCAGCCCCGGCTCGGCCCCCGGCCCGCGCCTGGCCCGGCAGCGTTTCCAGGGACATCGTCTCTCCACCTTTCCGCGAGGAAAAATAAACAGTTTGAGGCTCCTGTGTCTTTATTAAACATTTCCTTTAAGCTGCATACTTTGGCTCCCTGCCCGCATGCACCAAGAAAGCATCCACAGAGCAGCTCCGCCGCGGGCCGGAGCAGGCAGCCCCCGGCCGGGCGAGCACCTGCACCGCCGGCTGCGGCCCGCGGCGTGCCCCGGGCCGGCCGCTGTGGGGGCCGTGTGGGAGCCGTGTGGGAGCCGTGTGGGAGCCCGGCGCTGCCCCGGGCGGAGGGCGCCGGCGGCGGGCAGCGGCAGCATGGTGGCCCCGGGCCAGCAGGCGGCTGCGACGTGGCAGCCAGGTGGGTGGGCAGCGCCGGGCTCGGCGTGGCCGGGGCCGGGGCCGGGCGGGGGCCGCGGCGGGCGCGGGGAAGGGCCCGGGCTGCCGGGCGCGGCCCCGGGGCGGGCAGGGAGGAGGGGGCACGGCGGGGATGCCGGCGCGGCCTCCGGCCGGCGCTGCCAGGTAAACAGCCGGGAACCGCCGGGAAGCGCCGGGAAGCGCCGGGCGGGCGCGGGGCGGGCCGGGCCGGACCAGCCGCCCGTAACCCCTTCGCGCCCGTGCCGCTGCTCCGACCGCGTCAGCGGGGCCCGGGGATGCCATCGGCCGAGGGACCCCCGGTGCCCGGGCGGGGACGGGGGCCAGAGCCGGGCGCTGGTGGCCGGCGCGGCTCATGCAGCATCCCCAGCGGCCGAGCCCCACAGCTCAGGTACAGGCAGCTGCGCAGCGGCTAAGAATATCTTTAGTTTGCTGTTGCCTCATTCACCAGAAATGTGCCTTCTCTGCGACGCCTTCGGAGCAGCCCAGCAGTTAAATTAGTAACTACGATAAAAGCTACCAGTGCTGTTCGGAGACAGGGTTTCTAGATCCCTGTCATCCCGAACAAGGTGCGCATGGAGTCATCCTGGAGCTTGAGCCTTCAGTCCCCTACGCCAGCATCCATTTCGGCAGAAATGATGCACAGCTCCACGCAGGCTCTGCCGGGAGTGGGACTGGATCTGGATCTTCCTCAGGCAGGACAGGGGATTTTTTTCAGACATTGTCCAATAAATACTGTGCATCATGTAAATGTCTGTCCTGTCCGGAGAGGCAGAGAGGAACTGCAAGATAAGGAGCTGAGGAAAACCGCCAGACAGCCACTGCTGATGGCCAGGTGCCTGCTTCTCCCTGCTCTGTTTTCCCCCCAGAAAACAAAGCTGCCGTCATACGTGTGCCCATAAAACACGAGGCATCCTGAGTGCAGAGATTAGTGGTAATTTTACAAGGACTCAAATAACGTCGGTCTGCAGGGTGCAGCACTGCCTTGAAAGGGAACAGCAGGCATTTCCCCTGGAAGCAAGTTTCCTCTTTAGAGCAGTTTACTGCCGAGGTGCAGTGTCACATTGTGGCACAAATACAGTGTCAGCCTTTGGTTTGGAAGATGAGCATTTGATACCTCTTTCTGCTGCCAAAATGCACTACCCAGACCCAGCTCCCAGCACGGTTATTTTTTGAAGCATTATGTAATTGGATTGCATGGTCAGTAGTGCTTCCTTAACAAGCCTTTCAGCAAACCCTCTGCCTGCTGCAGCCAATCCTCAACCCTTACATACACACTTACTCACGCAGGCTCAGTCTGGAGTAAACTCGCTGCTAAATACAGTTAGGAAACGACGAAACCAGGCTGGGAATAGATCATCTGCTTCCCTGCGCTACGTGAGCTGTGGTGTGGCCAAGCCCTGGGTGCCGCTGGTGTGAAAACGGGGTCATGCTGATGTATCCCAGCTGAGGGGTCACTGCTGCCTCTCTGCCGTGCCTCTCCCTAACGGGGTGAAAAAATCTGCTTTTTGGAGCGCGGAGAAGCAACTGGACTCAGTCTCCTTGTCTGCTCTCACCCTGCCATGACTGCCCTGAGCCCTGGGGACCAGCTTTGGGAAACCTCTCCGAAGGTGCTCAGGCCCAGGGCAAGAGGGCCTTTATCCCGGGTTCTGGTGGAAGCTGAAGGGCTGAACTGGGAACCGAGGCTCCGTGCAGCTCCCGGGCCTGTCCGGGCACCGTTCCCACGGGGCCTGGCTGGCTCGGCCCTCGCTGTGTTTTCCAGGAGTGTCCCTCTGCTCCGGCCGCTGTCAGCCCACGGGCTGTGGCTCTGCTGACTCACGGCTTCCTGTTTGTGATTGCTGACTGGTGGCAGCAATTGCAGAAGCAATAAGAGATATTAAAAAGCGTGAACTTCCACTGGGACCAGGAGATACAATTAGGGCTGTGCCAAGAAATACACTGCAGCGAGCTGCGGAGCCCTGCAGCCCCCCGTTCCCTTGCTGCAGGAAGTAGGAAAATGAACATCACTGGCCTTTTATCATCTCTGAACCCAAATAAAAATTGCATTTGACTTCTGAAGCTCTCTCTGGCTCTTTTCCATGCTCCTCCTCAAAGCCTTTGATCCAGCCTTCTGTCTGGGTCTCCTCTACCTGCTGCTGCTGCTCAGATGTAGGGATCCGTGTTCTGTGCTTTCACCTGACTGATTCTCTATGAAAAGCCTGCATGAGGCTGTGTAAAGAGGCTGCTTTAGAAGGCATGCACAATCTAATATTATTTCCATTATTTTTTTATGGGAAATATCTCTGGGGAGAAGCATGAAAGTATATGGAGAAGGTGCTCTTTGATCAGTAAGGTCTAAATGTAGCATCCAAACTGCATGTCTGTTTCTTCATATTATTTTGAAATTCATCTTAAAGTGCTACTCCTGGGTGGGCATTTTCCTGTTTCTTCTTCCTTGGCTTGAGCATTTGGAAGCATTGCCATCAGTTTCGTCTCCAGCCCTGGTGGGGATTGTCCCCAAAATGATTTCACCGCCTTATTGTTACTGTATATCAGTCTTTCAATGTGTTTTAATTCCAATTTTAGCCTGATTGTCAGAACGTACATTCTGGTTATTCAGCTGAGGACAGGAGGTGGAGGATGGTGTTCTATGAACTGTGTGTCACTGGAGGACAGAACATATGCTGAGGCTGGTCTTTGATGGATTGAAGCTACAGTAGTTTGCAGCTAAGAAAAAACCACTTCACTTTTGTACAGGCATTAAACTGACTTCTAAATTTTTTTTAACTCTGTGACAGACATAGGGCCGAGAACTGGTACAGAGAACAGACATTAGGGGAGGGAAAAAATCCATCCCAAAACCTCAGTTATTTCAAAACATACCAAAAGTGGACTGACAGTGGATGAAGAGGAGGAGGAGGAGGCAATAGCGAACACACAACACAGTTCAAGCTGGCAAGGAGCCCTTTCTTGAAGAATGTAAGTTTAACCTTTAGCATTCAAGTGTCTGGGCTTAAGTGTCATTATGAGCAATATTTTCCTTCAGCACAGCCTCTCCTGCTTGGAGGAGGGTTCTGTGCAGCCTCATCCATTTTCCCCTTTCCCGTGTATAAAAAAATGTGTTTCTGGTTGCATGCACTCTGCCAAGGCCCTTCGGGTGGCAGAGCCTCTGGGCACAGTGCGGGTGGTCCTGGATGGGTCCAGGCAAGGGCCTGCCTGGCCAAGGGGGCTGTGGAGACCCTGCCACAGCTCTGGACTGATGGAGCGAGAGCTTTGGGGTTTGCTGTTGAATTTAGGTTAAAGGTTTTGTGCCTTGAACTCACAGGTGGAGCTGGCTGGGGCAGGAGTCCCCCCAGGGCACGGCCTGCAGCCAGCCTGTGCCCAGCCCTCGGGCTGCCCAGCCCGGGCACAGCACACCAGCTGCCTGGGTTTGTTGTGGCCACAGGAGGAAGAGGGATCTGCTGGCAAATTGCTTTGGGAGAACGAAACTCAAACGAGGAGCGGGAAGGGATGGACCTGGTGTTGCCATTGTCATCATCACCCCCTCCAGTGCCAACCTCACCTTTTGATGGAGACACAGAGGAAAAAATTAGAGACAGCAGCAGATGAACATCAGACCTGGCTGTGGACAGGCTGCATGTGTCCCCTCCCCCGCCCCCCCAAAATCATCTCCAGCTGTAAAACACTTCAGGGCTGACAGAAACCACACGCAGCCCAGCCATAACCCAATCTGCAGAGCTGCATTCCAATAAAAGCGCAGCGTGGACCTAGAAGAAACACTGTCCAGGATTCCCCGGCAGGATGGGTGCTGGGCTGGGAGGGATCCCCCGAGGCCAGGCACTGGGGAAGGGGGGCACAGCGAGGCCCCCCCAGGCCCCGCCGCTGCTGGCTCGGCACGGCCCTCCCGGGGCACAAATGAAAGCATTGTTGGCCGGGGTGGCTGGGGATGCTGCAGGGGACGTGGCGCTGCAGTCACAGCCCGGGCCCCCAGTTTCAATATGCGCCGCTCACGTCGCCGCAAATGTCAGATGTGCTTATGTTAAATACAGGTAATATCGTGGCGTGCGGCTGGGAGCGTGATTCCTGCAGATATCTTGTCTGATGAATTTTGCATCTCGTGTTTGTGATTTTTCTGTGCAAAGAAGTACAGGTTTGAGAGGAATAGGAGCAGATATTTACAAAGAGATAACGATGAACTGTTTGATTAAGTGCAGCAAAGATGCTATGTCAGATCCGATTTCTCACTGCTTACAACGCAGGGGTGAGGACGTGGTTACTATATAGTAAGTGCAGCTGGTGCTGGTGCTTAACTTGGTGAATAATTCAATGCAGACTTTCCTGCAAATCTCCAGCTTAATTCTGAAATAAGTCGGAGGGAAAGGAGGCTGATGGACTATTTTCCAAGGAGCCTTGGGTACCTGGCTGGCGCAGAGAGAAGAGGGTTGTATTGCTGTCACTGCTCCTGACCCCAGTGCGGCTGAGCACAGGAACTGCCAGCCCTGGGCCGGGGTCCCTGTGCAGCCACTGCACCTGACAGACCCAAATGAGTCCCCAGACAAGCCAAGGTGTCTTGGTCTCCCTGCTGACACACTCGGAATTCTGTGGAAACCACCCTGTAGTCCAGAATTCTTCTCAATGCTGAAAACAGGGTTTTTTTTTCCCTAATTCTGGGGGAACTGTAATTTTATTTTGTAACTTATTTCCCTCTTTTTTCCCTTTAAGATGATTCCCAAACATTTATTGTGGGATTTTTCATTTAAAATAGTTTTCTAGGGGAATTACTGTGACAGTGATTTAATTGTTTAATTAAAATCTGACATTGATGACAACATAAATACAATAGGCACGAGGTGATACAGGCATTAAATAAGTGCAATTGTGGAATACATCCACAGAGTACTCTGAGCACATGGAGCCGCTCACAAAGAAATGATGTTCAATATTTATCAGGTTAGTGACTCCTAATTAAATGCCAAGACTTTTTTTCTTCATTTCTCTCAAAAAGCCAAGAAACATATAGATGTATTCCAAGTGTTTATTCCCATGGCAAACACATCCACTCGTGTTATGGCCTGCAAAACAAGCAAATGCATGTTACAAACTTGCTGTCTGACTGAGGGGTGTTTACTCAGCCTGACTGCAGCAGCCTTGCCAGGTTTGGGGACAGCTGTAATAGCCCACAGAGGTCCTGTCACTCCCACTGCCTCGAGCACGATGTCTTTTAATAATCAGGTATAACCCCAGAAATAGATTGGAGACAAAAGAATAAATGTTCCTTTGAAATGTCCCTTAGCCCAAACCTCCCCAAACCCTACAGCATTTCTTCTAGAGCAATAGTCTCTCCCCTCCAGCACCCCATGTCTCAGGAATAAGGGCAGCAGCCCCCCCAGTAACTGAGGCAAACATGACTCCAGAAGAAATCCCTGCTATCTGGCTGAAATTGCTCAGCAGTGTGGCTCTCCAGCCGTGCTGCATTTTTGCATCCCAACAATGACTGTGCTGCTGCTGGAATATCCCTTTCCATGCTTCTTGCTGGGCGTCTCTAAATGGTATCAACTCGCTTCTGCGGCTCAGCAAGCCCTGTGCAATCCATCGCTGCCGATCGCCTGCCCTTTCCCCTTCCAAACCCAGAACAAACACATCTGCTCCAGCTCAACTCCCCTCAGCCTTCCCCCCTTCTCCTTCTCAACTCCTCACAAACAAACTTTCCAAAGGAAAAGCCGCCTTACCTGGCCAGTGCTTTGGGCATAGAGTCATACAAACTGATCAAGGCAGACATCCTAACTCCAGCACAGGGATTTGATTGCAAATTTCCATTGCAAAGGAGCAGAGGGAACTGGAAATCTGACAAATGCCTTCAAATTGACCTGTGTTTCCACAATGCACGCAGTGTTTAAAATGAATGGCAGACTTTATCATTTGGAGCTCCTTCAAGGACTCTGGCCTTCCATGCTTTGTTCTGATTCTTCAGACAAATTTCCAACAAGCATACAGCTATGGAAGTGGATGATATTATGGAGGCTTTTTCTAAGCGGAATCTCCCCCCTCCCAACAATAATTTTTCAAGCCTTAATTTTAAAAGATAGCCTGGAACTTTTTTTTAGCTCTCCCCACACATCAGCCCCTTGTGCCCCATCAGCCTCCGGCACCGCAGAGTGTCCCCAGTCCCCCCGTGCTGGGTGGCGAGCGATGGGATATGCTTGTGGATCCCTAAAAATTCAGCTGAGTGCAGTGCTTTCACCACAGCAAAACTGGCCCACCCCTGCCTCCTGAGCCCCTGGCAGCCAGGTCATGTCTCCAGGGGAAGACCTGATCTCTCTGCAGAACCCAGGGAACCAGAGCTGCTCACCCTCATTTTACATGTTAAAGATAACAACCATTCTTGCTGAGAGTCCTGTCCAGAAAGCCATATTCACTCTGTTGGAAAAACATTTTGCTTCAAAGTTGTTTCTCTTAATTTGTATATATTTCTACAAATAATAACTTCCCTTGAAAACGCCGCTATTCGTTCTGTCTGTTCAAAATAACAGAAATGAAATGATACAAATCTTTGCGCAAATACATCAGATATGCCATGAGACAAAAAAAGGGGTTAATCTAATAATTCAGCTGTGTCTTTAGCAAGTTTCCTATGGGAAAAATCAGTCTTATTTTCACTGCAGATCTGATACTAAGAGCTTCTTTCTGTTAAGCACATTAAAAGCTATTTGAACCCAAAATCCCATCTATGCGTATGCAGAGATACACATATAGAAACAAGATGCACCCACACAATTGCAGATGAGGCTATATCAAAATTTCTAATTAAAGTAAGGGAAGCCCCATTTTATATTTTAGCAACCAGATTTTCTTTTTGCCTAGAACAAAGAATTCTTATGGGAAGTAAATTTTTTAGAGGAGACACACGTGCACATACATGTAATCATACCTAACGATTTCTGTTCGAATTATCCCTTAATTCCTTGGCTGTGTTTCGGTGTTTGCGTAGTGGTTTATCCGCCGGTCCTGCAGCCGTCACTTGTTCCTTCCCTTCTCTGCACGCACAGCCTCCCCTCGCCACCTCTTTTTGCAACCTGGAAAACTGGGAACTCTCTCTTTCCCCAGCCTCCAGACGTCTGTGTGCAGGACGAGGGGCAAACCTCTGCCCCCTGCTCATCTGCTGTTTCCCTTCCCAGCCCGAGTTCCTGCCTTGCCAGGAGGGGAGGGAAGGATGTCCTAGGACTTGACCCCAGGGCAGAGCCTGCTCGGGCTGGACCCGCTCCCAGGAGGGTGGGGGGCCGCGGGGCGCACGCCCCTCTCCCCGCTTAACCCCTCCGCTGCTCCGGCCGGCGCTGCCGCCTCCTCCCGCCGGGGCACTCGGGCTCGTCCCGGCCGCGCCGCGGGAAGAAGGACGGAGCGGCGAGGGGCTGGGGCAGGAGGGCTCGGCGCGGCGCGGCCGGGGAGCAGCGGGATCCCGAGCGGGGGATGTTTGGTTTGTGTTAACTACCCAGACAGATGCACTTCGGCATGTTTGCCTTTATGGGATCCATATGTTGTCATGGGAAATTAGAGGACAGCGGCACACAGCTCGAATTCACGATGCAAGCGCAGACAACCTCCATGGCTCCAGCCCGCGCTCGCACACGTCCCTGTGGAGGTGCCTCTTTCTGGAGCATCCGCAGGCACTCCTTTGCCCCCCAACTTCCCCACGCGTTTCCTTGTGCTTTGCTCTGCAAAAAGCGTGCCCACAGGCAGCACCCGCAGCCTGGGCCACCAGATCCGCCGCCTCAGGGAAAAGAGGCACTTTTCTAAGTTATCCCAAGTGCTAAAGACAAGGGTTACTTTATTTTCGCCGCAACCTCTTCCTCAACCCACGTTTGGTTCACGTTCAGCAAGAACAGCTACAAATTACATGCACCTTCCCAGGCAGCGTACCAAGCAGCCCTGAAAAATTCTGATTCCCGCAGGGCTCCATGGTTTGGGGCTTGGTTGGTTTTTGGTTTGGTTTTTTATTTTGGTTTTGTTTTTTCTCTTGGAGTTGGTTTTTTTTTTTTTAGAGTTCGGGGGGGAGGTTGGTTTTGTTTTGGTGGGTTTTTTTGGGGAGGTGTTTGTTTGTTTGTTTTTAAAGATTAGTGCATTAACAATTATTCTTCCATAAAACGAGACATGTATCAAGCAGGAAGTGACAGATTTTTTTAAGGGCAGCTTTTAAATGCAAACTAGTCCCCCTCTGGAGTCAATCCAAGCACCAGGACTCACACACAGCACGCCTGGGTCACAGGGCTGCAGGTACAACATCCACAGAACCGTGGCACCTATCGAACCCTGAGTCTTAAAACCTGCGACTTTCTCCCAAACGCCAAACACTCCCAGCAATGCATCAACAGCACAGTCAAATTCCTGATCCTCTTCCTTCACCCCCATCCCACTTAAAGGGACTTGTCAAAATTCCAAATGTCAACCCCCACGTTAAGAAATAGGGAAAGCTCAAGACATTTCATTATAATAGGTACTAACAAACATGCAGTTTATTACCTTGCAGTATAAAATACATCTATATTAAGGTTCTCCCAAATGGAAAAACTGACCGCAACTGCATTCCTTGTTCAGAGCTATGAAACAAACCGTGAAAATAATTACAGTTATTATGAAAAAAAAAAAAATTAAAAAAGGGTGGAAAAAAAAAGGCAAAAAAGAAAAGCAAAAATGAGAGCTTCTTTAGCTTTCCAAGACATTATTTAATTTAGCTGCATTTCTGCTAATAATAAAAATAGGGTTTTATAGAAACATGAAAAAAAAACATAATTTCTTAAGCCTGGATAGAGGTTCTTTACTGGTTCACCTCCTCCTAAAATTCAAATCCCATGTTCCCAGCCATCATCTACATTTCTTGATAGAGCTGGAATAGGGAGGGACAAGCTCCTGGAAATAAAAATTTTAAATAATAATCGGACATGGACTCAAGCAGAAAGTGAAAAACGTTACCGTTAGGCTAGAGAAATATTTATTTAATCAAAGCAGAGGTTCTGGTGGGACTGGAGGAATGTTGCATCCTCTCCCAAAAAAAAAAAAAAAAAAAAAAAAAAAAAAAAAAAAAGAAAGAAAAAGAAAAAAGGGGGAAAAAAGAGGAGGGGGGTGGGGGGAAGAAAAGAGAAAGCAAGAAAGAAAAAAGGCAGAGGCACAGCCGCCTCCTGGAGTTCCCCATTGTCCGGGGCCATAGAGAGCCCCAGAATGGCATTAAACTCACAAAAGGCACATTGTGCGGGGGACAAAAAAAGCCCCTTCTTCTACAATAACTTTTAGCTTCTTATTTTTAGAAAATGACAAAGCTGTTGCCAGCGATGGCTGGTGAAACCTGTAGCCCGGCTCCCAGCGCGGCTGGCCGCGGCCGCATTGATCCGCCGGCCCGCTCGGAGCGGCGGCCGCCAAGTTTGAACGGGGCCGGGCCGCGCCGCGGGGATGCTGCGGGGATGCTGCGGGCGGCGGCGGCGGAGCCGGCGCGCAAAGTTGCGATCGCTGCCGGACGCAACTTTCCCGGCGGCTGCCGGGGAAACTTCGGCGGCGGCGGCGGGGGTCGGCCCGCCCCGGCTCTGCCCCGCGCGGGGCGGCGCGGCCCCGCCCGGGGCGCGGGGGCAGGTGGCCCCGCGGAGGTCCCGCCGCCGCGGAGCGGAGCGGTGCGGAGCCGCCGGCCGGCCCCGCGCCCCCTGCCCGGCCCGGCCCGGCGCGGGCAGGGCGCGGAGCGGGGCAGCGCGGCGGGGCGCGGGGCCGGGCCGGGCCGGGCCCCCCCGCCGCGGGCTGGGGGCCGGCCGCTTGCCCCAAGTTTCGGTGCGGCGCCGCCGCCGCCGCCGCGCTCCCCCCGCCCGCTCCTGCGCGCTCGCTCCCTCCCCCGCCGCCTGGGCTGAATCTTATTGATCCAGAAGGTGGCTAATTAGCCCTTCCCGTCGTGCCTGGGTAATGAGGCACATGCGCACTGCACTAATCAGCCATTTTTTGCAGGAAACTAATTAGCAGAATAAAGATCCAAAGAGTTTTTTTTCTTCCCAATCATCAGATCTGAGTCCGGGCGCTTCCTGCTCCGGCGACCGCCAGCCCCGCCGCCCGCTCCGCGCCCGCCGCCCGCTCCGCTCCGCGCCCGCCGCTCCGCCCCGACCCGCCGCCGCCGCTGCTGCTGCCGCCGCCCGCGGCCCCCTCTCTCCGGGGGGCTGCAAACTCCCCGACAACGATGCTGCTGCTGGGCAGCGGCGGCGGCGGCGGCGGCTCCCGCTCGGCTCCGGCTGCTGCCCCCGGCTCCCGCTGCTGCTGCCCCGGGCCCCTCCGCGGAGCCCCGCGCTCCTGCCGCCGCAGCCGCCGCAGCCTGCATGGGATCTGTAGCCCCCGCGCCGCCGCCCGGGATTAAAAGCGCCGCCGCCGCCGGAGCAGCGACCGCGTAAGTGGCAACTTTTCTGCCCTGTCCCCCGCTCGGGCTCCTCCTGCTCGGGGCGCCCGGGCTGCTTTGCATGGGGCTGGTCCGGCCCCCCCTCCCGTCCGCTCCCACCCACCGCCCCGGATCCCCCAGCAAACTTTGTGCCGCTCGCCGTCCCGGAGCCCCGCCGCCGCCGCCGGGGACGCGCAGGTGCCGGCGCCGCGGGGGCCGCTACGCGCCCGCGGACCCCCCCGCCCCGCCCGCCGGCCATGGCCGCGGGGCGCGCAGCAAGCGCGGCGCCCGCCCGGCCGCTTTGTGCGCGGCGGGGCCCGGCCTCGCTCGGAGCCCGCGCCCCCCGGGACCCCGCCGGGCCGCGGCCGCTCCGCGCCGGGGACGCGCCGGAAAACAAAGGGGCGAAGAAAGTGCCGAAAACTGCCCCGGCGGCGGCGGGCCCGGCCCCGCCGAGCCCCGCACCCCGCGGCCCGCACGGCCTGGCCGCGCAGAGGAACGGCGATTCTCGTTCCCCGCGGGCGGCTCGGTGCGGGAGCGCGGCGGGGGCGGGCGGCACCGCAGGCCGAGCCCGCTCGGGGCCGGGGTTAATGACTCGGGGCTGCATCGCCCGGCGCTTATCGCGCTACGTGAAACGCGGTCCCTGTCGGTCCCCGCCGGGACCCGCCGCGCTCGGGTTCCCGCTGCCTCTCGCACCCTCCGAGGGCAGCGTGTCTATGTATGTGCGCGGCGTGCGTGGGTGCCACGCACACGCGGGATTCGGACTGTGAATTATTTATAATTTGGGTTGCGTTTGTGTCTTTGTCTTCTTTTTTTTTTTTTTTTTTTTTTTTAATTATTCGGTTCCTCCCCCCCCCCGCCCCCTCTTTTTAAAACAAACAAACAAAAATTGGTTCCGAGCAAGGTCTGTTTCTTTCTCCCGCTGTGCTTGGGGCTGCTCTCGCTATGTCCTGGACTCTAACGCAACCGTGTCCCCTCTACGCCGGCTGTCTTTCTCCTCTTCTTGCTCCTGTTTAATATGGAGCAATTTTCTGGAGACTCGGTGACTCCCTCCTTAGGGTCACATTGAGTTCGAATACGACTGAAGGTGCAGGAATCCTGCAACGGAGGAAATAAGAGAATAGAGAAAATGGGGTCAAGTTGGCTGCTTAGAGGCCAAAACTCCCATAGCTGCCTTTAAAAATATATGTATAATATTTGGCTTTCCTCGCTGTATTACGGATTGCAGCTTCCCCTTTCAGGTATTTTCCTTACAGCTTAAAGTCCTCGCTTCCTTTTGCCTCCCCCCGCACCCTCCCCCGTTAGGGTGGGGGGGGGGGGGAGGGAAAATAAAAGGAAAAGAAATGGGGGGGAGAGAGGGGAAAAAATAAAACCCATTGAGTTTAGGCAAATAAGGTTTGGTCTCCGTATCCTATTACAAAGCACTTTGAATATGCAAGACATCACACAAGACCAGTTATTCCAGTTACGACAAACTTAAAAAGAGAAAAAAGCGAGGCATGTTTAGATTGTAATTTGTTAGAGCAAGATCCGTATTTAAAATTCCATCTTTTAAATATTTTTTTTCCTACCTTTGCTTTATATCCAACCCTTTCTAATGTCTGGGTTGGGTTTTTGTTTTTGGGGTTTGTTTTTTTGGGTTTTTTTGCATTATTATTAAAATCTTTCCATCGAGTTTAGGAAGACCGCTGCGAGCAACACATTTTCTGTATTTTTGTTCCTGTATCTCGGAGGAGAGTTGGCAGGGATTCTGTGGTTTGCAGTTACACAATATGTAATCATGTTTTTAATCACTAAATCATTGCAGTGGTTATAGATTTACAGTCTTAGGGTATTACTGAGCGGCGCAGTGCAGCCCGTGTGTGCGGGGACATACGAGAGCATGCCGTTAACATGCTCGTGAACTTTGCTTTTAAATCATTTCCCGGCCGAGCCGCGGCAGAGTGCGGAGCCAGCATTTTGGCATCACCCCTCCACGCACTTGAGGAAAGTTTGTGCAAGCCTCCCGGCAGGGCAGGAGCTCCGATGGGCGTCGTGCGCGCCCCGTCCTGCGGCGCTGGCGGTAAGCGGCGGGTCAGGGGTGCGAGGGGTGCCCAGCGGGCCGGGAACACCACCTGCATGGCCGGGGGGATCGGGCAGCCCCACCGGCCGCCCTCTGCTCCCGCTTCCCCCTTTATTATGTAACAGAGCCCTCGGCAGCATTAAAAATTCAGCATTACAAGCTGATTGTAATGCTCCCTCATTAGGGAGCACTGTCTGGTCCGGCGCTGAGCGAAGACGGAGCGTGGCTTTTCGGCTGCCGCGGCAGCGGGGGCTGGGAGGGGGGCGAGCGGGGTGTCCCAGGGCCCCGGCGGCAGGATCAGGCTGGGCTCCCCAGCACCAGGACGTGTTGGCCCTGCGGCCAGGCCCAGGGCTCGCCAGGCTTCTGCTCTGCCGCCGGCCGAGGGCTTTCCCCTGCGCGGCTGCCTGAGCTGCCTCCTGCCCGGTCCCACTCTGCGGGCTGTCTTCCACTGGAACAAAAGCAAAAAAAAGTCACGTTAGAGGGGAGTGAAACTCTGCGTCTGGCCCCAGAAGTTCCTTTGCTCTATTTGTATTTTCATCTCCTCTTTTCTTCTTAACGCGGTCATTTTGTGAACAGAGGGCAGCAGGAAGTTGGCTCCAGCCGCTCTCGCGCACAGCGGTGCCGGCCGCAGCAGCAGCACTGGTCCTTAGCTGCAGAGCCTCCGGACCCTCCCTCCCACCCTGCCGCTGCCTTTTGTTCCCGCAGGACCGAGCCAAGGTGCTGCTTGGCAGGCCGGGGCGGTGCGGGCGGGCCCTTGTGCCTGGCACCATCGCCTGGCCTTGTCGTGGCCTCTGTCACACCGGGGCCCAGCGGTGGCTGCTCTGACAAAAGCAGAGGCGTGTGTCCCTCTTTCATCTCTCTGCGTTGACCCCCGCCCTGGTTGCTGTCGGTGTCGCGCCAGAGGCCAGGATTTGCTTTGGGCCTGGTCAGTGGCTGAACGGCTTCAGCAGGAATCGCTGAATCCCAAACCGATGGACGCACAGCTGGCTGCGTCAACCTCCCTGTTAACACCTCCTTCCGCTTTCCAAAATAACAGTAATAGCACTAATAATAATAAAAAAAATGTTGCATGGAGAAGCAGAAAAAGGACTAGTGGGCTTTTACATCAACTTTATTCACATGCCGTGTTTTGTTCTGTGGGGGCTCGATGCCTTGTGGGAACGTTTCCCTGCCAGCATTGCTTTCTCATCTGCGGTGGGAGAATTTTCGGCAACCATCTTCTGTGGGTGCTGGTGCCGGCGTGCGCTGGCCCTGCTGGGGCTGGAGGTGTGTTTGTGCTGCGGAGATCGATTCTGGAGGGACAGGCTCGGGAGAGGCCGAGCATTTCACAGCTCCCACATCCCTTCATCGGAGCACGGCCAAGGTTTGGCCTTTGTGTGGCTTTGGGGGCTGTGCAGCCGTGGGTGCGTCCGGCTGGCAGGAGAAGTGGGCTGTGAACAAAGCCAGATCAGGACAGGTCCCTCTGGTGCAGCCCGTGCTGGACCCCTGTGCTGCTTGCAGGCTCCTGCAACTGATGGCCGTGGGGGCTTCAGCCCGGGAGGGGCCCCCGGGGCCACAGCAGGTGCCTGTGGGGGCTGTCCCCGCTGCGCTGCTCCCGTTCCTTAAGGGTGGGTCATTCCCCATGCCGACGGGGAGCCCTGGGGGAGGCTGTGCATCCCCGGGGAGAGGCAGGGGGAGACCGGAGAGAGGAGCTCCTCTCTGGGGAGCAGGGCTGCCCTTCTCTCCTCCCTCTCTGCTCGACAGCCCAAATTCAGACTGGGTGTCCAGCGTATGGCGGCAGCCATGGGGCTGTCAAGGGCTGTCGTGGCAGGAGAGTGGGAATCAAAACATCTGTGCGCAGGCCTGGGCGCCGCAGCCTCTAATGGTTTTGACGGAGCTGTTGTGGTCTGTTGTCTGGAAAATCTGCATTCTGCGCCGTGCCCGAGGGGGCCGCGGCACCGCAGACCGTGGCGGTACCTAAATATAACCGCCTCGCGCCAAGGGGTGAGGTGAGGGCAGCGGGAGCAGGCCGCCCGCTCGCCTTCTGCTTTGTCTCTGGTCTGCGATTCAGGCATTTTTGTTTGCTCCTGAGGTTGGGTTTGTGTGTAGGCAGGGATTGGAGAAATAGATAAATTCTAGCTAGTTTAAGAAAAAAAAAAAAAAACAAAAAAAACCAAAACAGGGTGGATTGAGTCGGGCTTC